TATTTATTTGGTACTGAATATGCATGTATATCTTAATTGTAAAAAGTAACTTGCATTTGCAAACATTAGCATTACTACTAAGCAGGAATAGGGAACAGCTTCTGTATTTTCTTCTCCGCTCTAAATCGTCTCTGTTGTTGTTGGAAGGTGCCTAGTCTGTTGTGGCTCATAGTGACCCCATGTACAACGTAACAATAACACTGCCCTTTCCTGCACTGTCCTCACAACCTTGCTATATTTAAGCCCATTGTTGTAGCCATTGTGTCAGTCCATCTCACTGAGGTTCTTCCTCTTTTTTGCTGACCCTGTACTTTAAAGCATGATGTCCTTCTCCAGGGACTAGTCCCTCCTAATAACATGTCCCAAGTACATGAGATGAAGTCTTTGCTTCTAAGGAGCATTCTGGCTGTACTTTTTCCAAGACAGATTGGTTTCTTCTTCTGGCAGTCCATGGTATATTCAATATTCTTCACCAACACTATAATTCAAAGTTATCAATTCTTCTTTGGTCTTCCTAATTCACTGACCAGCTTTTACATGAAAATGAGGTGATTGAAAATATCATGGACTGGGTCAGGTGCACTTTAGTCCTCAAAGTGACATCTATGCTTTTTAACACTTTAAAGAGATCTTTTGCAGCAGATTTGCCCAATGCAATATATTGTTTTATTTCTTGACTGCTGCTACCCATTAAAAGTTCCAAGATAATAATAAGAAAATTGCATTTCCCACAAAGACTCTGGAAGTGGGCTTTTCATAATGTGTATAGGAATCTGAAGAGACTGTCTTTTGATTGGCTTTTAAAGAGCATGATTTTGCCATTGGCGTATTGCTGGTTTGTTCGAAGTATTTTGCTAATAATATGCTTACAAAAGAATTTGATCTCCAATTTAGGAGTCACTATATGGGAACTGATGACCTTTGGAGGAAAACCCTACGATGGAATTCCAACCCGAGAAATCCCTGATTTATTAGAGAAAGGAGAACGTTTGCCTCAACCTCCCATCTGCACCATTGACGTTTACATGGTCATGGTCAAGTGTAAGACAGCAGAATAATTTTATCATCACCACTGTCATTCTTAGTGAAATAATAGCACAGACTAATCAACCTGCATAATGTTTCTCTGTATTAAAAAATATTTATAACAGTTCATTAATAATTATGCAAAGAGCATGTAAATACCTGTTTGTTGTAATTATTATTAATATAAAATAATATGCTTCCATGCTGTGAAGTCAAAATTATATGACTCTTACTCTTCTCATTCATTTCTTTTTGATTTTTATAATTTCCAGGACAAATCAAATTGTCATAAAAAGATGTGATTAGTCACAATAATGTTAGTAATCTTTATAGGATCATATCAGACTAAAAAACATGATCTAAACATAAAGAAAGGAAGCTTGATATTGATAGTTTAAAAATTGGATTAAATGGAAATCTGTTTACCAGTTTTAGTCAGGAGGAAGGTAGTGGAATAGGGT